AAGCTTGGCAATTTTAAGATAGAATCATAGGGCTGGAAGAGACCTCAGATCTTCTAGACCAACCCCTTGTCAAAGATAAGAGATCTTGTACCATCCTGGACAAATGGTTGTCCAATCTCTTCTTGAAAGCCTCCAGTGATGGAGCACTCACAACTTTGGAAGTAAGCTGTCTCACTGATTAATTGTTTTCACTGTCAGGAATTTTCTCCTTATTTCCAGGTTGTATTTCTCCTTCATTAGTTTCCATCTGTTGCTTCTTGTCCTGCCCTCAGGTGCTTTGGAGAACAGGTTGACCCCCACTTCTCTGTCACAGCTTCAAATATTGGAAGACTTTCTATCATGTCATGTCTAGACCTTCTTTTCATTAAACTAGACACTAATGAAAAGAAGGTCTAGAGATAACATGATTACTGCAACCATTCTTCAAATGTTTTAGCCTCCAGTCCCTTAATCTTCTTCGTTGCTCTTCTCTGCACTCTTTCCAGAGTCTCAACATCTCTTTTGAATCATGGTGACCAAAACTGGATGCAGTAAGTGTGCAGTGCCAATGTGTTGTATGGCTTAGTGTGACCTCATTTTATTAAGTGGCAAAAGAGCTTTCAGTTCTCTTGTAATAATGTGGGAATTTCTTGGAGGGGGTCAAATAAATGCAGTCGTTCTGGGATGGAGGAGAAAAGCAAACCAACAGATTATCCTTCTTTGAGTCACCGCCCAGCTTGGAGAGCCCCCAGTTCCTCTGCTACAGAGGGGAACGTGAGACCTGGAGAAGCGTCTCTTCACTTCCATCCAGTTCCTGGCACTCCGGCAAGGGAGCGATGGCCGCCGTAGCATTCTTGCTGCATTCCCAAGTTGCTTCAGCATTAATGAAAACCACACCGTTCTTGGGTGGCCGTGGATTCTCAACTGGCTGCATAGTAATCCCCCAGCTGTTGCTGAGGTCTGGTGGAGGGTGTACAAGTGCAAAGGGTGAGCAAGGAACCGTCATGAGTGCACGGGGACGTGTAAGAGAGGGTGGGGCGGGAGGAGCCCAGCCAAAGTGAAGTCCTGGCTGGGGCTCACAGAGGCCGTTCAAGATTGCAGGAGTGAACGTGAGGTGAAACGGCTGGAGAAGATGTTTTGTTCCTCAGTCACTAAGTCATGTCCAACCCTTAGTGACCCCGTGTATCACAATATGCTAAGTCCCCCCTCCCCCTCCTCCACTGTCTCCTGGAGTTTGCCCAAATCCACGTTCATTACGTTGATGACTCTATCTAACCATCTCCTCCTCTGCTGTCCCCTCCTCCTTTGGCCTTCCATCTTTCCCAACCTCAAGATATTCTCCAAGGAGCCCTCTCTTCTCATTTGTGTCCAGAATATTTGAGCTTCAGGTTCAGGATCTGTCCTTCCAAAGAGTCAGGGTGGATTTCCTTTAGGAAATCAACCGATTGGATCTCCTTGCTGTCCAGGGGACTCTCAAAAGTCTGGCAGGGTTGCAAAGAAATTCCTACCTGTCCTGCCACTGGGCCATGCCTGGTGGTCCCCTCTCCTCCTCCTGGCAGCTGGCCAAGCCCTGCAGCTCACTAACTTGTCTTCTACGGCAACGATTGCCAGCATTTGGGAGACATTGACTTCCTCTGATGGGACGGGGTGGCCTTTTCCAGTTGTCCACTTCTGCAGTGTCTTCATTGCTTCTTCTAGTACTTTTCAACATTTCAAAAGGTTCAGCCACTTTTGAAATGTTTAGATCTAATCGCTATTCAACTTGTCAAAGAATTGGAAGGAAGGAAAGGACGAAAGAATGCAGATGCTCCAGAGACGGACCGTGGGAGCCAAGAATCCACCAAGGCCATGGATGCAGGTGTCCGACAGAAAAGTGAACCGTTCTCAAAACAAAAGGACGATTCATAATTGGACAATGTGACCAACCAAGGGTGGAAAGAAAGGGAAGCTCTGGTTTAACTGTCTGTGGAGATTCTCAGCCATCCAGGTCATGAAGAAGCTTCTTGGATGAGAAGTGAAACGTCTTCAGAGAAAAACCAGAAAGTCCAGTTGCCTCTTGAAAATGGACCCGTGAAGGGACATTCAGGTCATGGTGGTTCCAAAGGTACTTTTTTCAAGAGGCAACTGGACTTTCTGTGGTTTTTTTTTCTTTGAAGGCATTTCACTTCTTATCCAAGAAGCTTCTTCAGCTCTGAAGAGGAATGGCCACCCCCAGTTCCTGCAACCGTTCTTCCTACATTTTAGTCTCCAGGCCTTTGATTGTCTTCGTTTCTCTCCTCTGCACTTTTTCCAAAGTCTCAACCTCTTTTTTTGTAATGTGGTGGCCAAACCTGGATGCAGTGCTCCAGCTGTGGCCTTACTAAGGCTTTATAATAATATACAAGTTTTTTTCTAAGGTAGGGAAAAAAAAATCCTTGTATTTCAGGAAGGAAGTTATTCATCCAACCATTACTCGCACCCAGGACTCTGCAAGCTTGTTCCAAGCTGGGGTATCCCCAGGGACGTGTCCAGGATACATCCAGATGACTCAAGCCACAGGGCCTGCAGCCGTGCATCGCATGAGGACGTGTTTGTCAGGAGGAAGAAGCATTTCACAAGCTGCAGAGATGAGCCCAATTTTCCATGTTATGTTCCGGACCCAAAATTCCCTTTTCTTCCTTCCATGACCTCTTCACCTCCTAAGCAAAACAAAGCAAATCAAGCTGCATTTGTGAAGTCTGTGTATTCTACATTCACAAGCAAAACTCGGAGTAACCTGAGAATTTGGAGCTTCTAAAAAAAAGGGAGGGAAGAAAAGCCGACTGAGGAATAGGGAGAACCAGGAATAAAATGGAAAGTGGAAAGAATTAATCAAATCACGGAAGGAAGGGTCTGATTTTTAAATTGAGAAAATGGTTAACCCTACAAACCCAACCTCAGGGTGCCGGGATTGGGGGGGAAAGTGTGATAGTTGCCACTTAAGAAATGACTCACCTGCACAAAGGTGTTCACCGATTCTAAAGCACTGAGGTAAAAATGGCCTCCAATTAAGGTCAAGTCATGGTGACTCCTTAGTCACATACCCATGGAGTACATAAATGCTTTCTTCTCGGTCGGCTTTCAAAATTCTGCATTAACGGAGGGATAGAACAAAGATCATGCTGAAGTGTTAGCACCATTCATAGTGCCCTGATAAGACCACACTTGGAATATTGGATCCAGTTTTGGTTGCCACGAAATAAAAAATAAATTTTATCTAGAAAGATTGCAGAGAAGAGCAACTAAGACAATTAGGGAGCTGGAGGCTAAAACATATGAAGAATGGTTGCAGGATTTCGGTATGTCTACTTTAATGTAAAGTAGGACATGATAGCAATTCTTCCAATATTTGAGGGGCTGCCCCAAAGAAGAGGGAGTCAAGCTATTCTCCAAAGCACCAGAAGGCAGGACAAGAAATAACAAATGGGAATTAATCAAGGAGAGAAGCAACCTGGAATTAAGGAGAAATTTTGTGACAGTGAGAACAGCTTGCCTCCAGAAGTTGTGGTTGCTCCAACACTGGAGGCTTTTAAGAAGAGATTATGAATCCAGAATAGAGCTGGAAAGGACCTTGGAGGTCTTCTAGTCCAACCCTTTGCTCAAGCAGGAAGCCCTATATATACCACTCCCACACAAAAAGCTCCAGTGATCGAGCACCCACAACTTCCGGAGAGAAGTCAATTGTCCTCACTGTCAGGAAAGTTCTCCTTAGTTCTAGGTTCTCTCCTGGATCAATTTCCATCCGTTGTTTTTTGTCCTGCCTTCTGGTGCTTTGGACCACATTGGACAAGCAATTGTCTGAAATGGTATAGGGCCATGATGGCGAACCTATGGCACGCGTGCCAGAGGTGGCACACAGAGTCCTCTCTGTGGGCATACCTGCCAGCTGCTCTTCTGGCTTCCAGCGCTCTGGCACACGAGCTCCAGTTTCAGCACCAGTGCCGAAAGGGTTAACCATCACTGGTATAGGGCCTTTTGCTTGAGCAGAGGGTTGGACTAGAAGACCTCCTGCATCCCTTCCAAGTCTCTTACTGTGTTATTCCTTTGACAGCATTCTATGGTGCTCATCAAGGAAGCATTGCTGGTCTTCCCTCCTTCTCCACCTTCTCTTGCATGTCTCTGCCACTCACAACATCTAGGATAAGTCAAAGAAAGGTGGAGAAATTGGAGCTGACACCATCCTGGTTCTGAAGCACCTGAATGGAGCTGCCAATAGGTCTTCACAGCCTGGAGCTGCTCCTGAAGTGGCTAAACAGTAGCAGTCAAGCTGTTGCTGACTCCGATTAAATGCCAGAACTATGACATTTCGAGACGTTGGAGATAAAATGGAAATGTCCATGGAAGCTGGAAGACCTTGAGCAAGCCTCCTTGATCAACACATCAAAGAATTCAAGTCTTGGCCTAATTCTTTTTAAGTGTTTTTAATTGTTCTGTTTATCGTTTTAATTAATGGGGCCAAATCTATATATATTTTTAACTGTATTTTAATATTTGTATTTGATGTTTTTATTTGGCTGTTCACCGCCCTGAGTCCTCAGGGAGAAGGGCGGTATACAAATTCAACATAAAATAAAATAAAAAAATAAAAGTCTTCTGCCGGAGGAAGACTATAAACATCTCTCGCAATGACTTCTCATACCATTGCCCCAGTGATACGAGGCCTCCTTTCCTTAGAGTTATTTTTTGGCACAACAATGGGTGAATCACTCCAGAAGATACTATAAATGGGGAAATGACCTACGAGGGTATCTGGCAACATCTGCCTTCTGATGTTCATCCCCAGAAGATTAGAAGATTTGGAACACCACCCCAAAGGCTCAGGTTGGTAGGGAGCTGGCCCCGTGTCCTCCTGACCCCGATGCCCCCAGGCCTCTTCCTCTTGTATACCTCTGGTGTACCAAGTAGGGGCAGCTGAGGCCCCATGCCTCATCAAGGCCCAAGAAGCCCTTTTCCGCAGGGGAACAGTTGCGGTCTGACCACAGATCAGCGAAAGAATGAAAGTCATGCTTTGGATAATGTATTTATCTTGGAGATGGCGGTTTTCGTCCAGCTATCCAAGAATCCGAGTGCTGAAACTCACACTAAGTCAACAGCACTTATAGTAATGAAATAAATTCTTTTGAGGAATCCAGCAGGACCAGCCGACGAGGGGCTCGGAGCGGCTTGTTTTTCTTAAAATTCTCTCTTTCTTGCAAACCGGCATTGTCTGTGATTCTTGGACGGGGCCGACGTTAAGAAAAAGTGCAAAGTCTACCCTTCCGTTTATTTAGTCTGCCTGCCCGGAGCAAAGGAAAATAGGACGCTTAATAAAAGATTTCCTTTTGCGGGAGACCTTGCAAATTGCAGATTCTCCGATAAGCAGCCTCGGTAGTCGAAGGTCTAATTCTTCAACCAAACAGGGATGACCTTCTCCGGTTGAAGGAGAGAGGAACAGATCTGGAGCACCCTGGTTAACCGCAGCCCCGACTTAGAAGCCACGAGAATCAAAAGCTTAAACAGTTCCTAATTGTACTGTAAAACTCAAAGGAAAATATTTTCAATACTCTGTCCTCTTTAATCTAAACATGATTTAATTTCAACTCCACTGTTCGCTCTATACCACCAAGACATTCAAATTTGTATTTCATAACCTTCCCTGGGCCTACTGGAGATTGATTTCAAAGGAGAGAGCGTATTTAGATGATCCGAGGTCCACAGTGGCTAAGTAAATATTGAAGACAGCTGTACTCCAGATCTCTATCGGGCTTATCCCTGGAATGGAAGAGGGAACCGAACGGGGGAGGGAAGCTCCCAGGAGACACCAGAAGGTCACTTCCCAAGGTCAAAGGAGTTATCTAGCTCAGCCTGGTTTAAGACAACAACCTGGATTAGACTTGCCATCACTTTTTCTTTCCTCCTTAAAATGGGAGAGGATACCAGGAATCGAACCCACAATCCTTGGTAGGGCAAAGGAGAGGCTTCATCCCTCAACGTCTCATTCCTCTAGTACAGAGACCATCAACCTGGCAACTTCAAGACCCGTGGAGTAGAGTCCATGCTGGTTGGGGAATTCTTGGAGTTGAAGTCCACAAGGCTTGAAGTTGCCCAGTTTGGAGACCCCTCCTCTAGTATCTCCTTGTTAACGATGACCTCACAACCAAACCTTGTCCCTGGGAGCCCACAGGGAGGGCAAAAAAATTGGTTGTAACTGCCCTCTTAGCTTTTCTGACTCACAAACACACAGAGAGACCCTCTCATCTTCTCCTCCATTAAAGACTCTTCTGCCAACCCTACCAAAAGCCACTAAGAGGGCAAACAAGATCAGAAGAAAAGAATTTGTAATGTAAAGGCTGTAGAACACAGAGAAGAATCACGTGACCAGAGTTTCTGGAAAGAGGTGATGTTCTTGGTCCAATATCCTGGACATGCCAGCCCAGCAGTCCCAAGGACAGTCTAGATCTCATTCTAGGGCCACATGCCCCATAAAAGAATAACAGAGTTGGAAGGGGCCTTGGAGATTTTCTAACTTCCCTCCAAGGTTATGACTAGCAAAGTCTAATCGATTTTATACACGTTGACAGGTTTGGAATACGGAGCACCCCTTGAACACCAACGTCACTGATAACACCAGTCAATTGCAGAAGGCAGCTTCACTTGGAGGAACTGACATCCCACGACACCACCTTGAACCCCATATAACAACAATATCTGCCTCTCCCAGATATTTGGGAAGGATTTGAGAGCCAGATACAGAGACAAATGCTAGTCTATCTAGTTCAGACTAGGTATTCTACTCTGAATATCTGCTGACTGTCCAACCAACCACAATAACAAGATGGACCCCATTTGATAGTCTCCTTGACCCTCAGGTGGGGTCAAAAGTGACCCTGCTCCAGATCATGGCCTTCATCTTTGGAGACTCCTAAAGGTCATTTCTTCCCTATTCCAAACTTGCCAAAGTGCATAAAATGTATTAGACTTTGCTAGCGATAACGAAGGAAGGAAGGAAGGAAGGAAGGAAGGAAGGAAGGAAGGAAGGAAGGAAGGAAGGAAGGAAGGAAGGAAGGAAGGAAAGGAAGGAGCCACATTAGCACCAAAAGGAAGAGAGCAATTGGCAATGTTATGCCAGTATTTCTTCTACCAACTCAAGGATGGATGGAAGATCCTAAGATCCCAGAGGACCATCTGCCATTTGCTAAATCTTCTATTAAGGATAAAGTTAAGGATAATTTTATTTCTATACCGCCCCTCTCCCGAGGGACTCGGGGCGGTGTACAGCCAGGTAAAACACAATACAAATATCACAATTTAAATTTAAAAAAATTCTTGAAAGTATTACATTTAAGGCCAAAATTAGCTAAAAAACCCAAAAAATTTAAGACCTCCGAATTTAAAACTCAATGATGAAGCTAGCTCTACCTGTCGGAAGAGCAGGGTCTTAAGAGCACAGCAGTTATTGGTAATGGGACATGACTCTTTTTCACTTCCTTTTCAAATTTAGGTAGGATAGGATTATCTCCAGCAGCCCTCCTAGCCCTGTTTGCCCTTCCCTTCCCTTCCCATCATTTTCCTTCCCTTCCCTTCCCTTCCCTTCCCTTCCCTTCCCATCATTTTCCTTTCCTCCTTTCCTTTCTTTTCTTCCCTCCCTTCCCTTCCCGTCCCTTCCCATCATTTTCCTTCCCTTCCCTTCCCTTCCCATCATTTTCCTTTCCTCCTTTCCTCCTTTCTTTTCTTTTCCTTTTCTTCCCTCCCTTCCTTCTTTCCCCCCCCCTTTTTTTCCCCTTTTCCTTCACACACTGCTAAGAACCTGGAGGGCTTTCAAGAATTGTGTTCCTATTAAGTCCGATGGTGACACCTCCCCGGCCTGAGGGAACTTCTCCGTGTGCCGAGTGAGAAGGCCGGAGGGAGAGGCGGAAGGTGAGGAGGAGAAGGCTGCTGGTGGCCTTTTGATGCCAGGACATCCGGTGGGATCTGCAGCTCCGACAAAGCCCAGCTTCTGCTCTTGGAAAGAGGGACGTTTCGGGAAAGGGCCTGGCTGTGGAGGGCTGCGCAGGGACCTCGCGCGGAGGATCCGAGTGGAATGTGGGGAGCGGAGGACATATTAATGATTCTATAATGGGAACCAAATGCTGAGGTTCAAAGTTAAATCCTTCATAATCTACAGTCACTTTAGGTTACGCCAGGCTCCAAAAGGGATTGTTTTTCAAGGCAAGGCATTGTGGGTAAAGTGTTCTAAATTCCCAAGGAGGCAATATGGTTGGGATATATTTGGCCGCTCAGAGAAGCCTCTCCCTTCCCCTCCTCCTCCTCCTCCTCCTCCTCCTCCTCTGGTTCTTCTCTTCCGCGCAGAAGAGAGGGGCCCTTTTCAGTTCTTCTTCAACCTTCACACGTTGCCTGCTGCCGAGCCTGATGTCGGGTGGCCCTTTGCCACTTGGAAGCTCCTGGGCCATTAAAGTTCTCCGAGCACGAAAGAAAATACGTTTTCCCGGCAGGGTGGGGCCGAGGGAGAGCTTCTGAAGTGCGGAGGTGGGCCAACTCTCAGTGTGGGGTGCGCAATGGCCTCCCGCCCCAGCCACGCAGAGCAAGAGGAGAAGCTCAGAGGGCTGCCAAAGAGGCCTGTGGTTCTTCTGAAGCGGCCGTACCTGCAGAGAGAGCAGCCCAGTGCGGCTTCTGCCTTCCTCCAACGAGAACGTTGGATGAACCTCACCATGGGAGGAGGTGGGTCCAGGCAGGCATGCGCTTGAGGTTAGAGAGGCAGGCCAGGAAATCTCTGCTTCCACAGCCTCTGTTTCAGGAGGCTCTGTGCTCCATGGATAGGGTGATGTGTCTCTAGGCTCAACCCAGGCTTTGGGTGTGTCTGTGATTTGCCTGAAGGCATGGTGGGAGAGCTTCTGCTCCCGTCTCCCCTCCAGCCAAGTTCCTCCACCTTCCAAGGATACGGGGGCAACATGGATTTCATGGTCTTTCCCCCTGAATGAAAGTTGGTCCTTAAAAAAGCAAGACGGGAAGGAAATTGGCTCATTTGAGTTGTGGTGCTGGAGAAGGCGCCTGCGTATTCCTTGGGCAGCAAAGGAGACTAACAAGCAGGCCCCGGAGCGCATAACACCAGCATGTCACTGGAAGGAAAATCAAAAACTGTGTCTCCCTTACTTTGGCCACGTCATGCGGAGGAATTCACTGGAGAAGGCAATTATCTTTGGAAGAGTTAGCGCTTAGGAAACTAGGCCGTCAAAGAACATAGTGGCTGGACACCCTCAAAGCTGACCCCAGCCAGAGCAGAGAATGACCTGAAGAAGCAGCGCAAGATCAGGAAAGGTGGGGGGACCACCTGGCCCATAGAATCGCCAAGAATAGGACACAACTGAGTGAATAACATCATCATGATGTTCATTCCCTTGGATCATCATCAGCTTGTCAGGATCACACCCTTATAACAGAATAACAGAGCAGGAAGGGACCTCAGAGGTCTTCTAGTCCAACACCTTGCTCAAGCAGGAGATCTGGACAAAAAGCTGTCCAATCTCATCTTGAAAACCTCCAGTGTTGAAACATTTACAACTTCTGGAGGCAAGTTGTTCCACTCATCAATTGCCCTCACTGTCAGGAAATTTCTCCTTAGTTCTAGGTTGCTTCTCTCCTTGATTAGTTTCCATCCATTGCTTCTTGTCCTGCCCTCTGGTGCTTTGGAGAATAGTTTGATCTCCTCGTCTTTGTGGCAGCCCCTGAGATATTGGAAGACTGCTATCATGTCACCCCTGGTCTTTCTATTCGTTAAACTAGATATACCCAATTCCTGCAACTGTTCTTGAAATGTTTTAGCCCCCAGCCCCCTCATCATCTTGGTCGCTCTTCTCTGCACTCTTTCTAGAGTCTCAACATCTTTCTTACATCGTGGTGACCAAACCTGGATGCAGGATTCCAAGTGTGGTCCTACCAGGGCATTATGAAGTGATGCTAACAGTTCATGTGATTCTGGGAGTTGAAATCCACAAGACTTAACTTTGCCAAATTTGGAGAGCCCCATCCTTGTCCAAGCCAACAAAACTCAACTGTCCTTTAGTTTAGCTCAGCCAGGCGATTCATAAGCGTTCAGATGGGGCTCAGAATAATCACAATTCTTAAAAAGAAAACCTTAGGGAGGAATATGAACTTTGACTGATTCATCAACCAGTTTATATTTCTTTAAATTTGCGATGCAGATGAAAATAATAATTCTGGAGGAAGAAGCATATTTTCTTTGTTTATAAATGACGCACATATGCTTTGTAGCATCCTAGAGATATTTTTCTATTCTGTGGTAGAAAATCTGTCTTGGCATCAGCTCTTTCTCTAAAACAATGGCATTGAAAATAAAGATGGATTTTAACCTAATAGCCAACAGACCAAAACTGATCTGTTTTTGCTTAAGCCAGTTAGTTCATTTGAGAGGGCTTGGTTTAATCCACTGATTGGTGACTTGCCCCACTTCTGTTCTTTCACCTCGCTCAAGTTATAGTCTCTGCAAACTTTTTCTGCCAGCCCTGAGGATTCTGGGAATTGCAACCACAGCACTTTGAAATGTTACTCTTTTTTTTATTAAAAAGTTTTATAAGAAATACAAACATTTTCTCCCCCCCCCCTTTCCCCCTCCCCCTTCCCCTTTGAAATGTTACTTGACTGAGGATTCGGATATGAGGCAATTTGATAGAGAGGCTTTAATTTTATTAAGTAAAACTAACAGCGCATCCCAAATTGGATATTGCAAGCTGCTGAATAACACAATAACAGAGTTGGAAGGGACCTTGGAGGTCTTCTAGTCCAACCCCCTGCTCAAGCAGGAGACCCTACACCATTTCAGACAGATGGTTATGCAATCTCTCCTTAAAAACCTCCAGTGATGGAGCACCTACAACTTCTGAAGACAAACTGTTCCACCGGTTAATTGTTCTCACTGTCAGGAAATTTCTCGGTTGCTTCTCTCCTTGATTGGTTTCCATCCATTGCTTCTTCTTGTCCTGCCTTCAGCTGCCTTGGAAAATAGCTTGACCCCCCCCCCCTCCTCTCTATGGCAGCCCCTCAAATATTGGAAGACTGCTATCGTGTCACCCCGAGTCCTTCTTTTCCTGCAAC